TCTGCTCCCCTCCTTGTCTCTTGGCTGCATTGCTCAGCTTTCCAGGAACATAATTTACTGGGTAGGTTATATAGTAGTCCATTCCCTTGGTCAATGTTTCTGCTTTTAATATATGCAAATCTAATATGAGAAACCCGAGGCTGCTTCTGCTGCTTTCCTCAACGTAGGGAAGCAGGTTTCCCTGGTTTTCAACTGTGTAAGTCCAGTTCAAAGGTTGCTTCTCGACTTTCCATTTAAGAATAATTCAGTGTTGGCCACCGGGTTCCCTAGTGGGTCAGTCTAGAGGGTACCAGGGTTATTTGGACATTATTTAAGATATTATTCCTTAATTGAAATAATCATGGAGGTTGTGTGTATGAGAGAGACAACGTGAGTGTGCACAAACCTGCATTCCGATAAATGGAGACAATTTTATGCTGAGTGTTATTTAATCCTGGTAGTAAATTCTGCTTTTTTCCCCCTTCTTGGTTCTTTTATATAACCACTATTTTTGTTTACTTGTTTTGTATACTGCCACCAAGTGACTGAAAGCTGACAAGCCAACATTTTTCCAGTCCAGACTCTCTTCTCTCTCTTCTGATCCGTCTCCCCCACTCTCGCCCCCTAATCCCCGTTCTTCCCGGAAGATAAGCCGAGATGGGGGAGGACGAAACCCAAATAATCTTTTTTTTCATAAATGAAGAGAGTTTGAATGGCTTGATGGAAGGAAGAAGGATCGGCCAGCCGTAAAGGCCGATTTCGTGAAAGCCTTTCAAGCCGGGGGGGGGGTGTGTGTGGGAGGGCAGACCCTATTGCTAAATTTTCAGCAGCCTCCTAGTAAGGACTTGGATGAATAGTTGCAACTAAGGAAAAGTTTGAATTGCCAAAGCTTTTGGAAGTCGGCTGTTTGAGATGGGATGTCTTTTCACTGCAAGTTCCTCGTTCGGTTGCTGTTGAAATTTTCCGCCGGGCGGCCGCACACACTCTCCTCTCGCTCTAGAACTCGGCGTTTTAAGTCACTGCCCGATCAGGGCATTCATAAAAATAGATAAGGCCCGTCAGCTGCGAGACACCCCCCCCCCTCTTTTTTTTTTTTTGGTCCCAGCCCCTATCACTTTCCTGGCCAAAAAAAGAAAGAAAGAAAGAAAGAAAGAAAGAAAGAAAGAAAGAAAGAAAGAAAGAAAGAAAGAAAGAAAGAAAGAAAGAAAGAAAATGCATGCAAGCAGTCCTAAAATACCAGACTGCGTTCCCTTGAAAGGCAACATAAACCGACCACTCTAGTTTCTTAAAAGTGCAGAAAAAGAGTTTCCTAAATAGAGTAGTTTAATTCTATTTAAATGATTATCTTTTTTAAAATCACACATTGCAGTAACTAATACTGTGGTTTGGATGCTTTTGCCCTTCCTTCCTTCCTCCCTCCCTCCCTCTTTCTTCTTTCTTCATTCTCTTTTCTTTCTTTCTTTCTTTCTTTCTTTCTTTCTTTCTTTCTTTCTTTCTTCCTCTTTCTTCCTCTTTCTGTTTTCCTCCCTCCCTCCCTTCTTTCTTCCTCCCTCCCTCTTTCCTTTCCTTTCCTTTCCTTTCCTTTCCTTTCCCCTTCCTTCCTTCCTTCCTTCCTTCCTTCCTTCCTTCCTTCCTTCCTTCCTTCCTTCCTTCCTTCCTTGCCTTTTCCTGCCTCCTTTCCTTTTTTGTAGCATCTGGAGATTAATTTTCCCTCACCCCTTCTGCCATGTGCAAACAATAAAATAAAATAAGAGCTCATAGATAATGGCAACCGTTTCTCATTGCTGAATTATTATTCCTGAACGTATTAAACTCCTATTCTTCTTTGTTTAATTTGTTCACAGGCACAAGTAGTTGCTTACAACCATATTTTATGTGACTTTATAATATCATGCTTTATAATTTTAAGACAGTAACTATTGTCCTTGACAGCACAGTGTGACGTCATGGCCTCTGCTCCCTTAAATGTCAAAATGAAAGAGGGGAAGCATTGGAGGGAACATTTCCATGCAATAAAATGTAATCAGAGTCAGCCATAAAGTTTTCTAACCTGAATATCTCTTAGTGAAATGTGCAATGTTATTGGGACTGCCGTGGATGTTATGTGGAAGAACTCAACTAAATAATTCAACTTTTTTAAAAAGTTCATTTCTCTTTCCTCCCCACTATCAGCACATATATTTCATATTATTTCAAAATGATATTAAATTATTATAACAAACATTGACAGTAACATGCTTTCAGTAAACAAGAGAAATCTCTGGTTTGAGTTGCTTATAGAGGACATGCCTTTAATTAATTAAGATTTAATTCAAGACAGCTAATGGTGGTGGGATGGGGAGGTAAATGTTGGAGATAGTGAAGTTGTGTTGTTATTTGATATGGTTCAAGGCGAACTTCCTTTGTGAACCTGAGAGATTTCAAATTTTGGGAAGCAAGAAGATCTGAAAAAAAGAAAAGAAAAACAGACCAGTGGATAAAACCATGCCATCAATGGGTTTAAACATTGGTTGATGTGTAGGAAATCTGCAGAAATACTTAAGAAAAACAGAAAAGAACTTGAAGTCTGATAAAGAAAGGGTGATGCATTTATTTCCAATCTGTTTAAAAGCAATGTATTCTGTCTCTCTCACTTTCCTTCATGTCCAATTAGTGTTGCTTTTGATCATTGCAGAGTTTTGCTTATCCCCAGATCTCCCATCCTCCATAATGCAAGCAATATTTAGATTTTGCCTCTCCCACACATTACCGGGCTTCCACCCTCCACTACCCGCCACCTCTGGGAATAACTTCCTTTTTCAATCTCTTGGTTATCTTCCCAGTATGTGACTGACTATGTGTGTTTGTTTGTGTATGTATAAATATATACATATACTAGTATTCACCTAATACTGGTGCATGTGTGAACATATCCTGTACCATAGTGGGAAGAGCTGCAGATCCGATTGTCTAAGAACAGAAGTTACAGTGTGTCTTTTCATTAGTTTTGTAGGACCACACAATCATAAATGAAAACAGGACTTGGTTTAAATATAAGGTGTTTATATTCTGCTTTAAAAAAAAAAAAGCTGCATGTTTTGTTGTTTTTCCTTACATTTGAATTGTGACAAATCAAATTGTCAAATTTCACAATTGAATTGTGAATTGTAGAAATGGGATTTCTGTGATAAACGGAGTGAAAAGGCAAGTGGTCTGGGGAGAGCGAGCAAGAAAAATAAAATAAGGCAGAAAGAGAAAGGAAAGCCCTGCTTTGCAATTCTCGCTGGTCTAGACATATTTACCAACAATAATTATTTTGATGGCATTTAACGCTATTGTTCCAGGTTGGTTTTTCCGGGGACATTGGAATAAACATTTCAGCTTGGTAAGGGCAGACATCAGAAGGGGGGATCAAACTAAACAAAAAATATTAAGCTTATGTATTTTAAATAATCAAGATGGAATTAACTGTTATGCAGTGAACACTTTGAAGAAGGCAAATGTCTTCCTCAGGCATAATTGGTTGGTGATATTTATGTGTCTTGTATTTTGGGTTAGCTTCCAAACGTGATTATGGTTTGTGACACAGCCAGTCAGATGTTTAGGGTGGATTTGGCATTTTTATCCACCTAATCCTAGTTCTTCCCAAGGACCTGCGATAGAGAGATGTTGGTTTATTATTTGTATTTTTATTATGGTTGGTTACCTAGTCTGCCGGTTTAGCCTGAATTTGGCTTTTTTATCCACCCATCGAGTCATTATTATTGTTGTTGTTATTATTCTGTCATTTATGGGAAGAGTCAAGATTTGATTAAGACGTTTATTTGGTAGGGGCAGTGAAACTTCAGGGCAATCTCTCTAAATAAATAATTACAAAGCAAGAAGACTTGCCTGTAATAAATGTCAAGTCCAAAATGGCCGAGATAACATATCTAAGGTGAGATCAGCTCGAATGAAAGAAGAAAAAAAAACACACCCCACGGCGGCTTACGCTGCCATGAGCATTTCACACAGAGCACCTTAAGACCCATGTTCCTTCCACATAAAGGATGACCTCATGCTATATGCTTATGTGGTATTCTGATTATCTATCGATTTCCTGTTTCCAAGAGATGCATACATAATATCTTCTTTTAAGGTTCCAGGGTTTTGGTTTTTTTCCCCTCCCTACATGGCTACGTGTGACTTATGAAATGACGTGTAAAACATGCGTGGATGTGGACAGGGTTTTACAGCACCGGTGAAATCACATTAGTTATATAGTGCTGGATCTGGTTACCACACTAATTTGTCTCATCCACCTATAAAAGGAATCTAGTGGGTACATAACTAGCCACACTGATCTCTATAAATAGACAAGAGTGAAGACTCACACGCTGTGTGTGTGTATCTGTGCTTCATCAGTGTACGCGTGGTGTGTGTTTAGGGGAGGAGTGAAGGATTCTAATCCATCTATCAAGGGATAATAATACACGTTTTCTACGCAAGAGTTCAACCTAATCCTATATATGAACCTAAACCAAAGCATTTGATTTAAGGCAACCATTAATATATACATATTTAAATCGAACTCAGGCAAAAAAACTGCATTTAGGAATAATCCATTTTCTACATCCAGATCACAGCCTAGGTGAGAATTTGTGGATCTTTCCCCCCCTCCCCGTCTGCTGATCGTCCAGTCATGGACATCCCACAAAATTCATCCCTCCCTCTCCCCTCCGTGCTCCACAAACAGTCAAGTAAACAAACGGTGTCTGGATTTCCATTCAAGATCACATCACAAAATCAGAGCCTGGCAAGAGCAAAAGAAAGAACGAAAATGGAGTAACACTTGTTTCCTTTCAGACATTATTCTGGCTAGAAAGCATGTGTGGAGTGTGCATTTCTGAAGCTTTCCTCTAAATCAGTTCATCAATTCGCCAATTATTGCTGGGAGAGAATCATAATGAGGCATATTTTTCTCCTTTAGCATCAAGATAGAGGTAAAATCTGGGGGAGGAGGGGCGAGGGGGGGAAAGGGAAAAATAGCTTATGAGTCAGAGATGTTATTACAGCTTTCTTTGGGCACTTTAGCTCCAGGGGGTGGGGAGGGGAGAGACCCAACTGCTATTCAAGAACTATTCCAGGACTTGGGCATATTTTCACTGCTGTGTAGCAGTTTTAATAAAACATCTGTTCTTGCTTCTGCTGATGAGATGGTACAATTGCTTGCAGACTAAATTGTATAGAAAGAGACCTACGCATTTTGCTATATAGGTTTGCAGGAAAGGTGGGAAGGAAGAGCTACCGCCTTTGATTTAAATGCATTCTAGACGCCTACAGACAGAGACACACGGAGACCAAGACCCCCCTGTAAAATTTCTGGCCAGTAAAGTTCTAACTTGCACTAAAATACGTGGCTGACAAAATGTGAGTTTTTGGAATCTTGAACTTTTGTGTGTGTGTTTGCGCGTGCTCTGTACTGTGTACATGTGTGCATTTTAGCATTTTAGCATTTCCTAAGCCGTCCAACCAAATGTTAAGGAAGGGTTTTGTGACAAATTTCTTTGTGCCAGCTGTTTTCTCATCCTCATAACACAACCAAACTTTGAGGTTTTCTCTTCTGTTTAGAAAAGTAATAAACACAAATCCCTTTATCCTTTCCCAGGTCTTTCTAAAACAGCTCTTTAGGACCTATATAGCCCACTATACACTCCCTCCCTTCCTCCAACCATAAACCTTTTTACATCACATAATCTCAGCTCTTTCAACCAAGATTAGGAGTATTACAACGTTTTTTTTTAAAGCCCCCCCCCCCCCCTTTTTAAAAAAAGTAGTGCTTGCTTACCAGGAAAAAAAAAATTAAGGGAGGACGGAGAGTTATGGAGGCTTTGTGACTTTTAATGGATTCCTGATTTATACTAGAGCATTTTCTTTTAAAGGACCACCATTCTAAATATAAATATAAATTCACTCACTGAAGAGTCTTCACAGGAGAACTCTTATTAAAGAGGAAGTGGGAAGGGAGTTACTTCTGTCAATTCAGGGGGTTGGGTGCCTAGAACACTGATTTAGTTTACAGGCCATCTCGGAGCTTTTCAAATAATCCTGGATTGAAATCAATTTCACTAAATGCCTTCAGATTATGGGTTTACCCATCCTCCTCCATGCGTGCCCATATAAAATGCTTTGCAATGCACACCTCCTAGGAGGTGGGTGGGTCTAGGAAGAGGGTCATCTTGGCCCTTCTTCCTTCCTTCCTGCCTTCCCTCCCCTCAACCCCCCCTTTTTTTTTAAAGAATACATCCTAGTCTGTAATGTAAAGTTTGGGGGGGGGCACTATTGCAAGGTGGGAAAAGTGGGGAAAAAATGTATTGGGCATCTTTAGGCTTCCTGCCCATTAAACCAATCCCCCCCCCTTTTTTTAAAGCTTTCCACGGCTTTATATAAGAAGTGTATTATTATTTTTTAAAAAATTGCTAGCCCTTCAGAAACGCCTAAATGCTGGACACGATGAATACTTCTTCTGCCTTCTTCTTCTTCTTCTTTTTTTTTTTGGTCTGTTGTGGTCCGGTTTATGGCTTTACTACTGCCTCTGATTACTTTGCTTTGTTGAACAGAGGAAAAAGACCATAAACGCTTTTGGCATCCGTTGGCATCCGGGTTCCTGTTGGAGCCGAGGGGTGCTCACAGGAGGAGGGATTTGCTTCTTTCTCAGCCCACCAAGGAGAGTTACTTCATCCCAACAAGGGATGTTCAAAGTACTGGCTTGCTGGGGGAGGGGGGGGAAGCAAACATAAAGATATTCAATCGGAGGTGGGTCTGGTTTCCTTTTATGGACCCTTCCATATATTATTATGATTCTCCCTTTAATGCAGCTAAACAAAAGCCACGGAAATCAAGCCCAGGTTTCCTAGCCCTAATTGAATTTTGAAAGAGCAAACCAATAGCAGGAGGACGGAGCCTTGCTTCGTTTACACATCAGCAGGTATATTTTACATTTAAGGGGCAATTTATGGCCCTGGATTGAAATTAAAATGAGATTAGCTGTCTTCATTTCAATTAGTGTGTCGGGGCAAATCCACCAGAGGAGTAGAATACAGTCCACTCTCTAATCTAACTAAATATTTCAAGGGGAAGTTTTCTAATCAGCCACAGATATCTGAAGCCATAAATTCTGCCCCCTCCCCCGCCCTTTATTTTTGCAAATGTAAACACGAGGTGCTCCTTCCAACCGACACCGCTCCCTAGAGAAAGGGAAGGTAATGAAAGACTGGGGGTGCTACAAAGGTAAACAGGACCCTAACAATGACAAATTCTTCCTCTTCCTTTTTTTTTTTTTTGTTGAAGCAAAGCAATACTGGGTTAAATTATGTTAAATGAAAAGATTAATAAAGCCAGCTCGGAATTTTGGGGCCAGAAGGAATGAAAGAAGGAGCTTGCAAAGTTCTTCCCATTCCAAAATCCAGGAATGCTCTCCAAGAAGATATGGTCTCCATCCAACTGTCACTTCTTTCCCTGCCTGTCTTTTCAAAGATTGTTTTTTTGGAAAACACTAGCATTTAATTCCACGTTTATTGACTGACAGTAAATTAGTGGCGGGAAAGAGAATTTATGGTTTAATATTTTATGCATACTTCAGATTTATGGCTATAATTTCTGTGCTGTTTGGTTGTTAGAGGTATTAAGCAAGGTATTTATTCAAAAGAATAAATATCCTGATTTCTGTTCTCTATGGTTCCTTTCCTTTCCTTTCCTTTCCTTTCCTTTCCTTTCCTTTCCTTTCCTTTCCTTTCCTTTCCTTTCCTTAATATTTTTAAGGCAACGCTTTCTCTGCACTATGATTTTCTTTCCTTTTTTCCCCCCTTATCCTTTTTTGCCCCTCCTTCTTCAGTCCTCTCCCACCTTCCCTCTCCCCCCCCCACAATCATACTTACTCTTTTCCCCCCTCTTCTTCTAAACCGTCTTTATATTTAGAATTTCGAGACTTACTTTCAATGCATACTTAGTTTCAACTGGGGAATCAACACAAGCAAAAGCCATTTTTTCCGTGTCTTGACATCCAGTTTTCTATTGGCTCACCGCGGGTCAGCTGACTTTGTCATTTTGTCTGTCCTGGAGTGGAGCCGTCCCTATAACAATCTAGTTCAGACTACAAACTGGAGACAGAAATAAATATTAAAGAAATCATACAAGCCAGGTACAGGGGGGAAGATATGAATTCCTATTTCACAAACCCGTCGCTCTCTTGCCACCTCACCAGTGGTCAAGAGGTCCTGCCCAGCGTGCCGCTCAATTCCACTGCCTATGACCCTGTAAGGCATTTTTCAACTTATGGAGCAGCGGTCGCTCAAAACAGGATCTATTCATCTCCTTTTTATTCACCGCAAGATAATGTTGTGTTTAGCTCCAGTCGGGGACCATATGATTACGGATCGAATGCGTTTTATCAAGAAAAGGACATGCTCTCTAGCTGCAGGCAAAATTCTATGGGACACAATACACAAACTTCTATTGCACAGGATTTTACAAGTGACCAAAACAGGAGCACGTCCCAGGAACAGAAAGCTAGCATTCAAATATACCCGTGGATGCAGCGCATGAACTCCCACAGTGGTAAGTTTTACAGCTTGCAGAGATAAATTAAATAAACTGAACCATCTTTATGGCCGTCTCCCCAGCAGAACAGGCTCAGCTACTTTTTATGGCCCCATAAAAACAATCATATAGCTTCCTCACAGTTGCCGCTACAGGCCTTTTATTTGTTAAGTTGTTGCAAGCAAATATGGCTTGTTATGCTCTTTCTAATTAAAAGACTTTGGGAGTGTAAAATATCCATAATAAAGTGCAATCAGCTCTGATTCCATCCCCACCCTCTCACCCACCCAATAGTGGAGATTTGGGGGGGGGATTAGGTGTAGGAAATAGAACCGGGGCATTTTTTTTTTTTAAAAAAAGAAGTTTCCCTGATAGGCGAGAAAGGGCATTTTGGGGGAAGGGGGGAGATGCAAAATGTCTTGTCCAATAATAGGTTGAGAGATGGGGTTTGATGAAGTAGCTTGACTTCAGAACGTTATGGAAGGAACGTCTATTCCTAGTAATTAAAGCAGCATTGGAGTGAAGATCTAATTAGATTTTTTTTTCTTTTTAAGATTGCCGAAATAATTAAAACAAAACATTCGGAATCTTTGCAAATAAGAACGGAGCATGCTTTCAATTAGAGGCTTTCCCCTCTTCTTGTTCGGTCTCCCCTCCATGTGTGCTGAAAGATTTTAATGAATAGCCAGCCTAAGGAGCAGAATTAAATTGGAAATGGGTGGGGATACGATGAAGATGGGGGGCTTGGAGGGTGGGGTTGTTAGATGACTTCAGTTGTTTTTTATATATATATAAAAATATGTTACTTGTGTTTTATTTATTTTCTATGGACTTAATAAGACCTGTTGTTGGCCGAAGCCGTAGCTAATCGTTCTTAGTTTGTTTGGTTTCCGAATCCCTAGGAGTCGGCTACGGAGCAGATCGGAGGAGGGGGCGTCAGATCTACTCGCGCTACCAGACGCTGGAACTGGAGAAGGAGTTCCATTTTAACCGCTACTTGACGAGGCGGCGGCGGATTGAGATCGCCAACGCGCTGTGCCTCACGGAACGCCAGATCAAGATCTGGTTCCAAAACCGGAGGATGAAATGGAAAAAAGAGAGCAATCTGACTTCCACTCTCCCCGGGGGAGGTGGGGCTGGAGAAGCCGCCGAGAGCTTGGGCGCAAAGGAAGAGAAAAGAGAAGAAGAGACACAGGAGGAAAAAGCGAAGGAATGAACGGGGACGGCTCGGCCAAGAAAATTTTCTTCCCCTCCCCTCCGGTCTCACCCACGAGCATATCACAGAGAAGGTTCCCTTCTTTTCCTCCCGCCACCCGACTCCCTCCTGCCTTCCTTTCCCTTCTCATTACTGCAGGCACAAACGCTACATTGGGTTAAATTAAAAAGGGGTGGGTGCGTGGGGGAGATAGAAATCCCCTTCCTCCATCTTCCAGTTTCCAGCGCTCAGGTTCCAGACCCCTGACTCCCAAATCTCCTTTTAGAGGCTCCTGTCTCCCTTGTTCCTGGCCTCCTTGCCCAGTGACCCGGGTTTTTTTCCTAAAGTACATACATACACACAAACACACACACATAATCACATACAGAGAGAGACACACACACAGACACGAGTAAGAGAAACTCCCCCTGCCATTCCTTCTTCGCCCTCCCTAGACAGAATCCCGCTTGCCAAAGGAGAAGAGTTCTGTGTTAGGGGGCTGCCTTCGGGTAGTGCTGGGTTCGACCATGCAGGTCCAAAAGAACTACGGGCAGTTTCACTTTCCTAATAAAATAAAATTAAAAAAAAAAAAGAAGAAGGAAGGAAAGGCGGCTGGTGGCGATGTGGATTCGTGGAAAAGAAGCTGGGTTGGGGAAAAAGAAAAAAGAAAACACATAACACAGTTCACCGACTCACCTAGCCCTATGAAAATAACTTCCCTCCATATATCCATCTCGAAGTCTACGTCCGCCTAAATATAGCGCTTTCTTTCCAGAGTAAACTCATTGTATTGAAAACACTACCTGAAGTCATGATGCATCCGACAAACTGTGACGGTTCCTGTGTGAATATTTTTAGCTGTATTTGTGGTCTCTTGTATTTATATTTATGTTTAGCACTGTAATGGTCAAACGGTAAAGTGAATGGCATTCTATAGCGAGTAGGAGAAAAGCAAACCTTGTGTTAAGCTTCCTAGCATCATGTATAAAAAAAAAAGTCATGTCCAAAGGACTATGGTTGAGTATTTAATAAAAACTGGATATTATTTTTAAAAATTACTGGAATATATATATTTTTTCGACGTTTCATGGGGGACAATTTCGCGCCGAAACATTTTACAAAATCGACTCGCCCGTGTTCCATAGCGCGATCGAACCCCGTTTAATTTCCGCAGCAAGGCAGATGATAGGCGGAAATAATTTATTTCCTATTAAGTAGGCTGAGGATGACTTTAGCACCTCTCTCTCTCTCTTCCCTCTTGCATAACCATAGATATGTTCGAGCACAGACACAGGTAGGCATAAGAAACTTTGATTCCAAATCGGCAAATTCCTAGGCCCACAAGTCCAACTTTTTAAAAATAGGTGTGTTTTCTCAAGGCCAGTTTAAGCACCAAAGCACCGATTTCCTTATCAAAGAGAAAGGCCAAGGAACAAAGGAATCTCGCTGGCTCCTTTTCTAAATGTATTTCGAGGTTGAGAACAGGTGGGCAGGAATTATTGAGGAGGGGAGAGGGGAAGAAAAGTTCAGAAAGCGCAATGGATAAAATCTCTGATGCACCACACAGCCCTTGCTTTGGGGCGGAGGGCCCCACAGTGACTCGGGTTTAGGTCAGAGGCATCCTTGTCCCAAATACAAATGTCTGGGATGTGGGAAGTTCTGGCCTCTGGATGTCTGGATAGCCTTAGCTACGCTTTTGCGTGTTCAATTCAATCACCCGGTCCCAGTTTAAAAAAAGAAAAGGGGGGGGGGAGGAAAGACCACAACCACTCCTGACACCCCACCATTAAATTGATTTCGCCCACCTCCGTTTGTCTGAACCCAAGGGAGGCTGGAGTCATCCCTTTCTCGAAATCATAACAAGGAGCTTCAAAAACTCCCAGAGCTGAGAATAGCTCGGTTTTTTTTTCTTTAAAAAAAAAAAAAGCCAGTCTCGCACATGACCTGGGGAGGCGAGGAATAGACTCAACAACATTTCGGGAAACCTGAGCCAAAACTTTCCAGGGTTTCTTTACCGATTGTTCCTTAATGCGAACAACAAACAAACAAACAATTAAATAAGCTAACTTATTCAGGAGTGAAAGATGAGCCCATAAGGACGATTAAAAAAAAAAAAGATAAAATGGATGTCCCCCCCCCCCCCCATGGTGGGAAGAACACAGAAGCCACTTCAGGAGGAGGGCAAATGAATTCTTTGTAACTCCACCCTAAACAAACCAAATAAATTGTAAGGCGACGTCTAGGAAAGGAGAAAGGGCACCCCAACATCTTCCCTGAGTATCCAGGAAAAGCGGACTTTATTTTTCAAGAGAACTCCTCTCAAAGCCATCCGCCGAGTTAGCTAGCAAGCGTGTCAGTTTAGTGAGGAGGGAAAGGATGGCACATCCTTTTACCTATAAGACACACACACACACACACAATTCTCCTATGCCGGTTTCCCTGCAAAGAAAGGAAGAAGGAGGAAAAAAAAAAAACCCCAAAGCGAACCATCCATCCGTTCATCCCAAACAGGAGGATTTAGCCACCTCAAAGGACGCTTGACTGCAGACCCGCACAAAGTCCTCTCCACTCGGAAAGATACTCTGAGTGAAATCTTCAGAGGCAGATTTTTTTAAAAAAAAGAAAAAGAAAAAAAAAAGAAAAAGAGGGACGAATTTAGCGCAATAGGTTTAACAGTTCCAAGAGGGCTGCTGTTTGGCACCCCCCCCACCCCACCCTCTCCGGGCAGAAGAGCAGGTTCTTAAGACTTTGGAGAGAGAGGCATCCGTGTCCATAGTTGGATGCCCGGATCTATATGTGGGACTGGGGGGGGGGGTGAAGCATCAGGAAGATGCATGTTTCTTGCCTGCCACTTATCTGATGTTAGGGATTCTTGGATACACCCAGAATCCTGGAGAACACGGACCCTGCCCTGTGCGCTCAGGTGCCAGGCACTGAGGCAAAGAGTCTAGCAGGCAAGCAGCCCCAATCCTGCACACCGGGATATTCTGTTGGTGGGCACACACAGCCGGGCACACACAGCCCGACACCCACCAGAGAAGCCTGGTTGGCACACCCAAGGAAACAGGCGTAGGAATCTCGTAAGGTCGTGTTTTATAAAGTCCACCCCACTCAAAGGCAAACTTTCCCCAGGCTTCGCCGGGGTGGAAAACTCTGGCTTGCCTTCGATCACCTGGAAGGCTTTAGAGGATTTGTGTTGTTTTCACACCCCAAAGCCTCAAACGTTCGAACAAGGGGTAGAATTCGAATCAGTCGTCATACCCCGAACTTAGCACCAGGTGACGCTCTAGACTCATTGTCTCGGTGTTTTGAGTGTGGGGCCTTTTTTTTTTTTCTTTCCCTTCCCCTTCTTCCCAGGGCTTCGTTATGCCAACATATCACATACGTTGCACGGGCTTCCATCAATAACCTCCTGGGGTCATCAAGCCAAATTTATGACTGGCCAACACTGTCACGTGATTCTCTTTAAACATCCCATATTTGGGCAGCGCACATAGAATAAAGAAAAGAAGAATCCCCACCTATAAATTCTGCACTTTGGAGAACAAAAAACCCTGAACTTCAAAAGGGCCACAAATCAAGTCTAATCAAAGGGGTGTAAGAGAGAGAGAGAGAGAGAGAGAGAGCGAGAGCGAGGGAGAGAGGGAAAGAGAGAGAGAGAGAGAGAGAGAGAAGCTGGGTGGGGGGGAAATATAATTCCTGACATGAGTTCCTACGTAGCCAATTCCTTCTATAAGCAAAATCAAAATGTTCCTGCGTATTCCATGCAAAGTTATGGGAATTATGGATCACTGCCTGAGGTTCAGCCCTCCAGGTGCTGCTACACTGGGCTGGATCTGAGCATTACATTCCCTTCATCTGGGGCTTCCAACTCTCTGAACGGTGTGGACGTGTCTTCAACCCCCAGATCTAACCCTGACCGGCCTTCCTGTACTGTCATGGGATCTTCAGGGCACACTTTAGGCAGAGATGACCAAGCTTCTCTAAACCCAGGAATTTACAGTCAGAAGGCTGGTGGCACCAACAACCCCACGCCGTTGGAAGATAGATCTAAAACCAGTGGGGAAATCAAGAGTGAACCGGTGCAAGCAGCCCAGCCCAGCGGCCAGCCTGTTCAGCAGTCGCCGCAGCAGCCACCACAAATCTATCCGTGGATGACCAAACTACACATGAGCCACGGTAAACTTTCGCTTCTCGATTTTGTTTCACAGGGTTTGCCTTGGTTTTATAGGCCATACGGGGCAAATAACAAGGGGGAAAAAAAACCGGGGTCGTAAATTTTACGACTAAGGCATCAATTGCTCGTAAAACTGTCCACTAAAAGGCTTAGAGGCTATATACGCCCAAATTTATGACGGCATAATTGGATCATAGAAACAAAACGGGTATAAAGGCAATATTCCATTGGGGGGGGGGGGTCGAAAAGGAAGTAAGGAGGAAGAAAGATTTTAAGGGGAAGAAATAACTTGAATTTCGAGCGCACTCTTTCTGGGGAAGAAAATGAGCTTATGGTTATTTAGAGTGGGTCTTTCCCCATCCCCCCCCCCTCAAGAACCTTTTGCACGTCCCATAAGCCACGACTTTCTCTTCTTTCGAAGGAAAGAACATGCCTGAATTTAATTCCCACCCTTTAGCCCCCCTTTTTCGGGTTTTAAAAGGGGGGCGCCCCCCCCCCCCCCCCCCCCCGCCGCCTGACTTGCTTGAGACGGAATCCAAAGCTTTGATAAAAGTATAGACAATCGGGACCCTCGATTTACCAGAAATATAATAAATGTTATGTGGGGGGGGGAGAGTCAACCAAACCTCCTTCCCACCCATTCAACCCCCCCCCCCCGTCCTCCTTCCTCTTGCTTTCTTTAGCACATTTGGTCTCTCCCTTCCTTGGCATTGCTGCCCTGCTTTATAACGTGATTCTTTCCCTCCCCCTCGTCCTTATCCGGTGTCTTGTTCTTTTCCAGAAGCAGATGGCAAACGTTCTAGGACCAGCTACACTCGCTATCAGACTCTGGAGCTAGAAAAAGAATTCCACTTTAACCGCTATCTCACCCGTCGGAGGCGCATAGAGATCGCCAACAACCTGTGTTTGAATGAGAGGCAGATCAAAATCTGGTTTCAAAATCGGAGGATGAAATGGAAGAAAGATTCCAAACTGAAAAGCAAGGAGTCTGTCTAGGTAGAAGGTCGGGGCGGGGTGGGGAGGGATAGTCAGCACGTCTGGATGAGAGCACGTCTCGTTGTACCTTGAGAAAACTTTTTTTTCTTTGGGAGGTGGGAAAAAAGGAAGGGCGGAGGGAGGGTAGCAGCCTGGGACAGACTACATACCCTTGCAAATCTGGCAGACAAAGGCGTCCTCTGATTAGTATGCAAACAGACCGGGGTCTTTAGCTTCCAACAAGAATTCAGGGTGAAAAAAACCTTCTGGAGTTGCCACCGGGCCTCCTTGCTCTCTAACTTGGGTCCCGCTGATCTGGGAAGGAAATGCCTTGCTCCCTCTCGAAGTTCGCCCTCCGAGTCTACTAGGGGCGACTTTCCCCTAGAGCTAAACCTAAGCAAGGACACCCTTTAGGAAAAAAAAATAAAAATAAAATAAAAGGGAAGCTCGAGTTATGCATTAAGAGGGGTGAGTGCGACCGTCGCTACTTTCTCTCTCTCTCTTTTTTTTTTTCCCCCCCTTCTCCAATTTCCCGAAAGTCCTACTACGGCCCTCGGCTTCTATCCATTTGCAAGTCTTGGAAAGTTCAGGTCTGTTGAAAATGCCTACTAATACTTTGCGTCCAAGTCGGATTTTGCGCCCCCGAAGCGACCACGCGATACGAGAGCACTTCTTCGCGGCTCCAATCCTACCGCCGGCCGGCCCGAGGGGCGCCGCCTCCCGAGTAAACTTGCCTCCTAGGATCGGGCAAGCGCGAGCTAGTGGTCTCGAGACAATATTGACGTCTCGCGCGCGTGGAATAAAAAAAAAAATTGCCTGGTGAAGTCGTTTCCTAGATGCTCTTAACCGGAGGGAAGGGGAAAAAAACAACAACAAAATCCTGGGAAATCTGTTTGCTCCAGGATATGTTTGTTCAGTGCTGGGAATGTTTTCTGTAATTATCTTATTCCCTCCCCATTTACTTATTTTTGTATTATTGGCCTATGAAAGAAAATGAAACGGACTAAGAGCAACACTATTTCCGCATCTCTCCTGGGAGATACTTGTGCAAAATAGTAAAGCACTGTGGAGGAATGGAATGAGGGGGTTGGTGGGAAAAGAGTGTGAATTCACTTGGCTTAAATATTCCAGTGTATTTATTTGTTGTGTAATTAATGTAGTATGTACATATATATACAATCCTTATTCAAATTACACTTTGTTTACATATAGTCCATTTAAATTTTAGTCTCTTCCCCCTTCCTTCTCCCTGTTGTTGTAATACCTACAGTATATTTATTGATTGTAATATCATATGTGAAAGCCCGTGGAATGAATGAAGGGAATGAATGAACAGATGAATATTCATAGATACGTATATTCACCAAAATAAACTGTAAAGAATGCTTCCAACGATTAAAGGCCAAGTTTGGAGTGGGTGGGGATGAAGGAACATTTTTTTTCTTGAGCACTGCCCAACACCAGGTCTAATATCTTTTTAGTTCCTTCATTTGATTTGATTTTTTTTTTAAAGTATTTTTGTTATGGCAATAAAGTACATCAAATGTGAGGCAGGGTGCGTTCATTTTAGCACACCAAACTATTTTCTGTGAAAGGGTTGAGTTTCAATTGCTTTCATTGAAATCTAGGATAATTCAGGACACTCCATTTTCAGTTAATTGGGTCCCTGAGTTTTAGATTTAAAGGCCTGCTCAGATCAGTGGAACTTTAAACCTCTGTCCAATGAGAAAAAATGGAAATGTAATAGAAATCAGTTTAAAGATCCAATTAATATTACTTCAAAATGGGTTCTTATCTATTTCTAGCCCCTGCAAGTATTATTATTATTATTTACTTTATTCACTAAACATGAAACTCAGTCAACTGAAGATTAAAAAATGCTTATTATTATTATTATTATTATTATTATTATTATTATTATTGCAGCAGAATAATTTGAGGTAAGATAAAGTCAAATGCAGATGATCTATTCCCTCCCTTTCCTCATTGAAGGGAAAGTGTTTTTTTTTTTAGTTTTAACTTTTCCTATTTACACAGCCTAGTTTGGTGTCTTCAAAACTTGTCTGGATTGTTTCTCAAGAGTTTTCTTTTCCATTGCACCTTATAACAACAGTCCAAACAAGATCACATTTCTAAAGAATTTGACCATAATACTTCCAACTCAGCTGGAAGGAAAGTTCCCTCTTTCCCTCCTGCCCCACAGTTAACTTCCCATGGAGTTAGGGTGAAACCTGTGCAGTAAGAAACTGGGCTATTGGTGACAATATCTGAACTTTCTGAGTGTGTGTGATTATTAAAAGGAGTCGAAATAAGAATGACAGGTTTTTACTTTACTCTCAAGGAACATGGGCTAAAAGGTAAAGAACAAAGAGGACATTTCTATGTGTTGGGTTTAAGACAAAAGGTATCCAGAATATGCAATACAAAACTTGCATATTCTTGCATATATATTATATGTTCACATGCATCTATATTTTTTGATTTGTTTATTTGGTTTGCCTATTGGTGGTATTACTGGACCCAGTTAGGTGGAAATTTGATTTGACTGGGATAGATGCAGGCCTCCGGAAGTGTGGTTGGCAGAACTCGATGCATAGATGTTTCATGCGTATCTACGTAGATCCATATATGTGTTTTATTGAATTGCATGTATCAATGTGAGTCTGGGGAATGCAATTGTCCAATTCTCTCTCAAACCACACACAAGCCCACCCAAACTAGCTTGCTCATGCCTGGCATGTCTTTGGGGCTATTTACAGTAGAAATGCATGCTTGGGAATTCGTGGGAATGATCTCAGTAGCACAGTAAACCTTTGTACTGTTTTCCTCCGACACCATTTCAAACAAGGGAGCAATTTCCTGAACCCCTGAAGCAAAAGTTACTTTCCAGGATGGTGGGAGCTTTTGAAGATACTCCTAAAACCCATAGATTTCTGTCTCTGACCTCAAAATGTCTGTTCTCTTCCTCTGAGTTCATTGGTATTTTTAGCATTGTCTTTTTATTATTGACAAGATAAAATAATAATAAGGTGACTAAGGCAATGGCAATTGTTTTATTTGCAATTTTCCTGTCTACCTGAAAACCTTTTTTCCCCTCTTTCCTCCTTTCTAGCTTTTACACTATTGGTAGCTTGATTTCATTTGGGTTTTCTGTCCACTAACAGTCAAATTTTGCCAACATACCGGTAGATCAAAAGTTTTTGGTTCCCCCTCTTCCCCATTTCTTTCCTTTGTGATGCTAGATGGCCTTGTAAATGGTATAAAATTTCCAAACAGGAGCAGTTTTTTTAAAAAAAACAACAATAACAACAACAACATGCCTACAAGGGGGGAGGGGAAGGAGAGAGAGTGTAGATGTTTGAAAAACATAAACTCTGCTATGTAAATCTTAAGAGGTGTTTACTAAGGCATTGGAGAAATGTAGACATGTTTGGATAACTGTTCTCTAACCTTAAGCCAAGGTTTGCTGTTTTACATCTGTCTCATTTATTCTGGCTTGTCTTGACTTCCCTCCCCTCAGCTCCACAAACCAAGGGACTTCCTTTTCATTTGGTCGGAAATGTGCCAAGGAATAACTGAACTTGACAAGTTAGGGTTAACAAAATCAGATGTACTTTTGTTTTATCGTAAGGAGACTGGGGGGGGGGGGTGGGGGGAGGAGAGAGAGAGAGAATTTGCAAGCCCCACAGCACCAGCTCCAACTTTTCCATTACCGTAAGGCGAACCAGCCGGGAGATACACTGCCTTATGATTAATTATTCGTTTATCCAGCCAGCAACGTGGGTCTATTTTGGCCACTTTCCTGTCTTTTTAAAAAGTAATTTTTCAGGACTGATTAATATTTGGTGGTTGGGCTTGTCGTTGACTTTTGCTGCGCAAGACCTCCTCCTCCCCCCCCTCCACTAACTCTCAATTTCTGCCCGCTTTTCACTCAGCCCCTTTTTTCCTAAAGAATTCTTGAAAAGCCGAGAAGGAAATGAAACATCGCTTACCTTTCATAGTCATCCATGTCAACACAGTGGGAACTTTTAAAAAGCCTCCAAACAAGAAAAGGAGGGGGGGAGGTGCGGAGAATGACAGACACCAAGTTCCAAATCTGTGCCTGTGTGCGGGTGAGCTTTTGGGGGTGGGTGGGTGGGAAGAGGCGAGAATAACAAGGACAATAATAATCCGGCCTTCTTTTTTTCAGCCAAAGCTTTTACTTTCCCTGAGAACATTAGCAGAAATACCAATGGCTTCTGACTGAATTTAGCAGTTTAAAACTTTTGAAGGTTATTTATGTGGATTGCCCAAAGCGAAAGCCCTGAGTGGCTCTCGCGGAGCACGTGATGTCATTAAACTAAGTTTTATGGTTTGGGGGAGCTGACATACCCACAATATATTTACATCATATATAATCTTAACTGTCTCCCATCGCAGCTGCTAGAGCTGTTTAACGCTGGGACAGAGGGACCAAGGCAGTTAGTGCGATTACGACGTCTCGGGCTGCGGTTTGGGAAGGTACATCTTCCCAAATGGATCCCTGGCGAGATCCGTAAGTGCGCTGTTTTCTCTCTCTCTCTCTCCCTTTCTTGCGCCTCTGCTTCCCCTCCAAAATCCTCCCTGCTTTCTCACATGGGGCGTCGAGCTGTGGTGAGGGTGGTAGGGTAGGAGCTGTTTTCCCTGGGAATGGAAAGATTTCCACCCGCTGCACCTTTTCTCCCGAAGTGGTGGGAAGCTGGAAGCTCTGATTTTTCCTCTAGCTCTGTTTCCCCCACGAGGAGAAGGCTTTGACAGGCTGTCCGACTGTGGGGATCTAGACTTTTGGTCTCTGTCCTACCTTCCCCCCCCCCCCCACCCAACCTCCGCCTCCCGCTCCATTTACTTCATTGGGTCTAACTGGAAATTAAGTTAAAGCGTGTTCCAGGGATTCAGCAGAGGTTATTCCCTTCTCCTTCTTTCTCAGTTGCTTCCTTTGCCACTTTGGTTGTTGAGGATGGAGGGGAATGGGAGTCAGAAAGGTTTCTTCCAAAGAGAAACTCAGTTAAGAAGTTTTGAGTCCTGGTTTGGATGATGGAGGAGGGGGAGGAAGAAGAGGAAGAAAGAGGAGGAGGAGGAGGAGGAGGAGGAGGAGGAGGAGGAGGAGGAGGAGAAAGAAAGAAAGAAAGAAAGAAAGAAAGAAAGAGAAAGAAAGAAAGAAAGAAAGAAAAAGAAAGAGAAAGAAAGAGAAAGAAAGAAAGAAAGAAAGAAAGAAAGAGAAAGAAAGAGAAAGAAAAAGAAGAAAGAAAGAAAGAAAGAAAGAAAGAAAGAAAGAAAGAAAGAAAGAAAGAAAGAAGGTATAGTGCATGAGCCTTGCAGTTGGGTTCATACAGGGCAGTCCTGTTCTTCCCAGAGAGATTGTCAGGTGGAAACACCTCAGAAAGGCTGGAGGTAGGCCGAAAATACCACATCTTTGTGTAGTCAGGAAAGGAGGAGATTTTTTTTAAAACCACCATATCTCTGGAAGTTGTGTGCCAGAGCATTGCAATGTCCCTTTGTTTGTGTTGCTTAAGTCAGCTTTCTTCTACTTGCTTCTCTCTTTGGCCTCAAACACATGTCCTTGTGTTAGCTTGCCTGAGCCAGTTAAGCCGGACAGAGCTTTCCCATGGATATCATGGCTGAAGGCCGCTCCCTGGCCACCCTGGTTCCCAGGAACTTTAATTGATGGTGAATGGGCTAGGAAAGAAGATCTGGCCTTTGCACACTTCAAACAAGAGACCTCCTTTGCAACCTAAGTGGACTCTGGCAAACAATTTGCCAGCATAGCAACAAGACTTTCTCCAGGAACCAAATGTGCTATGCGAGATGCTTACTCCCTTTTTCTTTTGCTATTATTTTATGCACTAATCCAAGTTACCTAGGAAGCTTGTCATAAATCAAGGTTCAGGGCAACTCTAGAAAGGCCTAATTTGCTCCTAGGTAAATTTTAAGACAGCACCTTTCTTCTCTCTTTAGGATTTCCCTCCATGCTGTCCCAATCCTCCTCCTCCTATTATGGATCAGTGCCTTTCCCAGAATTTCCCCTAAATTTAGCAATTCAAGTCGAGGGAGAAAAGCGTCTATACATATAATGGTTGTGTATGAGCCCTATACCTATACAGGTCTTAACAGTTGTTGGGATGACAATTTGGATAATTCACCTAAACTAGACAAAGAGAATAGGAGTAGATCCAGGGAGTCCTATCATCTTAGTTGGAAATTAAATGACAATCGGCTCATGTTGATCTCACCTTGTTTTTCTTATATCTGTGTTGAAAATTCAGAAAAGAAAGTAGCATAGGGCCTTCTCAACCAAAAGCCTTCTTTCCTAAGGCCTACCCAGTTAGCTAGCACAGGATTAGCATTTTAAAAGGCCATGTGTGATGGAAGGCCTACATCCAGTGCTTTACAATTTTGTTTTGTGTTTTTTTTTTCATACATTGCATTGGCTGAGTGTCAATGAATGGAAACAGCTATCTCAACAGTAGTGCAGAAGGTATCCTCTATTTCCGAAGAGCAAATTGCCCAGTGAAAGTTGAGACAATGGGTTGCAAAATAGGGCATCTATGAGATATTTGAAAAGTGCTATCTTACCACGAAGAGAAGTGAATAACTTTGATTGGAGCTTGCCAAAAAAAGGAGAGAACCAAATTGCTTCCCACTCTCTGTAGGAGATGGGGTGCTCACAATAGTCTGCAGTGGAAAATATTAAAAGTCATCACCTCCCACTCCTCCTCCGTTGCCTTCCCACAAGCCCTCCAATAGTCAACAGCTCTTCTACACACACGAGCATATGGGAGTTAATCAACAAAGGATATTATTCCTCTTCCCCCATCCTCTTTTTCTACTTTTGTGTGAAAACAACACAAGCTGCTGTTGTGTCTCTGATGGAGGGGAACAGCCCCTGGTGGATATTATCTCCTTCCTCATGACTCTCTCTTGCCATAGGACAATATAAAAATCAAATGACACTTAAATAGGTTTCCAACAGGCTGAGGCAGAAGCTTGTGCTCAGAAGAACATTTAGATCTGTTACATGAAGATTAGGACATGGAGCTTTAAGGGACTAGATCCTGTTTTCTAGAGGTGTGCCAAATGGTCCTTTTCTGACTTAAGCCTCTCAGAGTTATTTCTTAAAGGACCAGGTTCTATGACAGACGTGTTTCCATTCTTGATGGTTCTTCTAACCAGACTTTTTACCCTTACCTAGTTCACTGATGCATGGACACGTATCACCCTTTCGCTGGAGAAATGGGAGTCTGTAGTCTAATATATCTCCAGGCACCAAAAATAGCCCTGTACAATTATTTATCCATTCTGCTCCTCACTTTCAGGCTTGGCTGTTTGCTTCCGGTCTGAATAGCTTCCTTGGAAAGAGTCACAAAAGGGAAATTAATGTAATTGTCCTTAGAAATACATACATCGCTTAATTCCAATATCCTCCTGCCATTGGCAGTACTCTTAAACCTGAATGCCATTACGTAGTTTGAGGTATACCTAGTCACAGGTCTTCTATTACAAGTATTCTCTTAGAAAGAATATGGGAAAAGCCCCCTCCATTTTAGGGGTTTCTGGCTCATTGTATTCCAGCAGAAGGTTGCAAATTTCAGCAGGCTTCTATAATAAGCATGAAGACTTGTGGAAATTAGTAAGACGGAGTTCCGAGAAAACATATTGGATTGGGTTGCCCAAATGTTTAAAAGCCACCCTTTACATTCAAAAGGTTATGGTCAGGGCTAATAGTAAATTAATAGTAATGTGTTCAAGAGGCGCCATACTCCAGATGAAGCACTGGCACTGGTAACAGCAGCATCTCCCCCCTTCTCCCCCCCACCAGCTTCTTTCTCTGCCTAGCCCCCTCCTCATCTTCCTCCTCCTCTCTCTCCCTCCCCTCTCTCACATGCACTCACACATATACAAACGATTTGGCCCTGACACCAACCCAATTCCACCTGGAGACCTTCTCCCTTCTTTACATGCACACAGCTCTCCCCAAAGTTTACTTCTACTGCATTCCTGCTTCTACTGGCTTTGAGTTGCA